CTACCTAGTGAGACTGTCTCAAAAAAAAAAAAGCTTGAATTTCATTAAAAGCAACTATGACTATCAATTGTTTTATTTGAAGTAATAGGGCTGGGTATTTAGCTCAGTGGCACTGCACCTGCCTTGCAAGCACAAGGTCCTGAGTTCGACCCTTGGTACTGGAAAAAAAGAAAACAATGTACCAATTTGAAGCGATAAACTCGCCTTTTATTTTTGGGGTAGGAAATATCTGCCATAGTTTCCCAGTCATTATTTCTAGTAAAAATGGTGTTCCACTTTTTAAAAATATCAGGAGGTCATGGTGGTACACACCCATCAGTCTCAGCATTCTGGGGATCTGAGGCAGGAGGATTTCAGGTTTGAACCTAGTCTGCACAACTTAGAGGCTTAGTAAGATCTGTCTAACAAGGAGAAAAGGGTGGGGGGCAATAGCTCAGTTTGAAGGCTCTGTATTCATTCTCTAGTCCCACCACAAAAAAATAAAACAATATAACATAAAAAAATAAAAAGTTCAGGTCACAACTTAATCAGTATTTCAGCATTCTGCAAAAGTGTTTTATTAGTATAATGTAAAGAACATTAAATAGAATGTTAGACAGGTACTTACGGGTCAAGATTTAATAAAAACGTTTCTTAGCACTTCATCAAGGATATTTTAAGAGTGTACGGTAATGACCACTAGCACAGTTTGGTGCCTTTTGCTGTGCTGGGCACCAGTGATTTTCCCCACTACTATTTTGTACCATTGGTGCAAATGCGAAAACAGAGAGAAAGTTGAACAATATGAAAAAATAGCTTGGCTGTCTTTTCTAGCACTGCCTGCAAGTGATTTTGGGAATCACCAGGACAGTGTTAGCCAAATCTTGAGAATCAATAATCTAAGTAGAAGGCAATGGTGCTTTCAGACAGGGTGGTAGTAGTAGTGAGAAATATTCTAGTTCTGGGTGTATTCTGATGGGAAATTCTGTAAGATTTTACTTGGTGGACTAAGAAAGAAAGGGGTCAAGAATGACTTGAAGGTTTCCAGTCTGAGCTAAGAGGAGTTCCAGTGAGTGAGATGAAAACAGGAAAAGGACTCGGGGGGGTGATCAGAAATCCAGCTTGGAATATGCGAAGTTTGAGAAGCCATCAGACAGCGATGAAGAGATGTCAGATAGGCAGTGGGCACTGGAGACCGCAGCAGCACATACGTTTGGAAGTCATCAGTATCTATTTACAGCCATGAGACTGGAGGGAATCATCCAGGAAGGGATGGAAAAGAGATGCCTGGGCTGAAGGACACAGGTAAGGAGAATGAGGGCTCACAACGGAAATGGAAGAGTGGCCGAGGTGGGAGGGCTGTGCAGAGCCAGGTGTCTTGGTCACAAACAACAGACACACGCATCTCACAGTCTGGAGGCTGACAGCTCGAGGCCATGCTGCCAGGGTGGTGAGATTTCCGGAAGGGCCTCTTTCAGGCACAGACAACAGACTCCTCAAGTGTCCTTGCCTGGCAGAGGAGGGCGAAGCAGGAAGGACACTGACCTCATTCGTGAAGGGCCCTCTGTCTTCCTTACCGTGCTCCCCTCACAGGGCAGGTTCTCATCTTAGTACCATCACGCTGGACGTTAGGGTTTAAGCATGAGAACTTGGGCGTACATGGGGTCACACACACAGACATCCAGCCCACAATCCAAGCTGAAGGCTTCAAGGAGAGCAATCATCAGCTTCAGGGGGTCAAGGGAGCTGAGGGCTGAGATTTGGCCACCACAGTTCATCAGGGGACCTGGGCGGAGGAAGTTGGAAGTGAGCAGTGGAGACAAAAGCGTGGTCAAGTGGGCAAGAGATGCAAATGTTCGGCAGCTTTATTCCTAACAGCTGCAACTCAGAAGCAGCCCAAATGTTCACAAGCAAGTGAATGGCAAGCCAAATTGAGTACTAATCCATTTATAAGGTGGAACACTATTCTGTAATAAAACTGGCTACTCATACACAATACAGTGACTCAAAAAAATCATTGTGCTGCTGGGCAGAGTAGGGCATGTCTGTAATTGTCCACTCTGGAAAGCTGAGGCAGGAGGATCCCAAGTTTGAGCCCATCCTGGCAACTTAGAATTTTAGCAAAAGTTGGTCTCAAACTTTTGGGGCCTGGGGATGTCTCTCACTGAAAAGAGCCTGGGTTCAATCCTCAGTACTGGAGAAAAAAAAATTGTGCTTCCAGGCACAAGTGTATACACTACACGCCTCTACATGGTAAGGCGTGCCTGTGTGCAAAATTCAGCTGTGAAAACTTAAAGATCAATATGAGTGTTAAGATGTGGATCCTTTAGATGATTAAGGCGTGAGAGCTGCTTCCAGCATGTGCTTCCATGCTGTGTTGGTTTGGCTCACTTGCCCTCTTCTGGCGGTGAGGACGGTGCTTCTCCCCCACAAGACAAAGCAATAGTGGGGCTGTCTTGGAAGCGGCCCTCCTGGACAGCTGCACCTGCTGGAGCCTTATCTTGGACCCTTCCACCTTGCAGAATGCTAAGGAAATTTCTGTTCTTTATAAATTACTCAATTTGTGGTATTGTTACTGCAGCAAAAACAGACTAAGCTACCACTCCTATGAAATCCTAAAGCAGAAAAAACAAGCTCAGATATTGATGGAAACCAGATTAGTGGTGGCCTCCAGAGGGGACTGGGGTTTTGAATGCAAGACAGCCCAAGCAAAGTTTTGATGTGAAGGGGATATTCTAACAACAGGGGTGATTTCAAAATGTATGCATTTGTCTAAACATCAAACTTCCCACTTAAAATGTGTTCTATTGCATGAATTATAGCTCAAATAATGGGAAGAGAGAAAACAGTGAACACAGACAATTATTTCACTATCTCGGTAGGTTTTCAGTGTGAACGGGAAACTGGAAATGAGCAGTAGCAGAAGGGAAAAGTAGAGCCAAGAGAAGTTCTTAAAAATGAAAATGACAGTCTATTTGCTCACTGGGGAGTGGAGGGGGAAATGCTCATAGAACAGCTTTGAGTGACCGAGAGCTGGGGGAAGAGAGGCCAGCCCTGCTGGTGACCCACCAGGTCGCTAGTGGAAGGGAAGGTAGCAAGAGAGGCTAGAAAGGTCCCGGGGAGGTGCCAACCTAGGGAGGTTTTGATTGGCTCTGTTTGCTGAAAGTAAGATTGAAAGGGAAAGATCAAGAGTTTGAGGAAAGAAGATATAAATACTCAGGGCGGGAGAGCAGAGGAACGGATGATTTCTACTCAGCACATAAGCACCTCAGGTCAGGGACCAGGCGTGTGAAACTAAACACATAGAGGGCAAGGTTGAGCGCAGGCCTTCAGCTGCTCCGAGCTGCATGGTTCATGCAGCCACGGACTCGGGATGACAGCAGGATTGTGGTTTGGCCCGGAGCACAGGAGAGGTGGAGTGGTGGACCACGAGCTGGGCGAGGAGAGTGCAAACACGAGACAGTGAGGGGCAGAGAAGAGGTCAGGAGTCAAGGGAATTGGTCCTGATGGAGCCAGATTGCTGGAGCCGCGATGTTAGAGAGTAAACTGTTAACACAGGTATTTAGAACAAGTTCAGGCAGGAGTTGGAGATCAGGGTCATGGCCAGTTCCAGAGGACGGTCACAAGTGCATGCTGAGACAGGTGGCAAGATAAAGCAAAGGAAAATAAAGCAAAAGGGGAGGGGATGAAGGGTACTGACTGATACAACAGGGGCAGGGTGGGCATCGAGTGAGGAGGTAACATCTGGGGAAGGAGGTGATGATGCTAGGAGGAAGTGGTTGGTGCTACTCTCAGTGAAGAGACGGAAGACGCTGAGGAGTAGAAAGTTCCGTGAATAGCATCCCAACCCAAATCAAGGAAGTCACCTACCTTGCATCCAGGCTAAGGGGCCAGGCTCTGTGGGAGAGGACGGGCACATTGGAGAGGGTGGCTGGGGAGCCATGGCCTCCACAGAGCCAGGGGCATTGTGTACTACAGGAGGATGTTGGAAGCACGGTGCCTAGAGACAGAGGATGCAGAATGAACCAGAAGAGCTGGCTTGGCAGGGTAGGGAGCTGACAGAAAGAGCAATGCAGGGCATTGGGGCGCTAGCCTGACAGTCCCAGAGCAGGGGTTCAAGGCGCTGGCAGAGGGAGGGTCCTGCAGGATGCCCTTCTGTATACCTTGCAAGTGGACCAAGCCTTGTGATTCATTTCTGCTATCAACACTTTGCAACATGATTCCAGCTACTCAGTTTTGTTCATTTTTGAAAATATATTTTAAAAACTTATCAAAGCCATGTATCATGACAAAGTATGGATGAGGGGGATTACTCATCCAATCACTCTAACAAAATATTCTTGCACTATTTTAGCATATGTAGGCTTTGACTTGTAACTACTGTAATCTCAAAGTATCTTGCTTTTTAAATTTAACATTGTTACTGTGAGGTTTTCCAGGTTACCATGAGGGCTTGAGATTTTTACTGAACTTGTAATTTTCCATAAAGTGAATATTATAATTTACTCAGCTGCCCCCTTTACTAATTAAGAGTACTGCTGATTCGTTTCGCTTTAGTAACAGTGAACTCATTAATAAACATTTTTGTGTTGTTTAGCTAAATGCTAAAACTAAATGAATGTGAACTGCTTCACATTAGCCAAGATACTACAACAGTATATGAAAACTATTGGAAAGGCCAAATGAATTAAAGATATAAAAGGTTACTCTATTAGTATTGGTACTAGGAAACACTCAAAATCATGAAAAGGTCTGAAAAACACTTCGTTTCCAAGCCAACAAGGCCTTTGTTAACAGGAGGGCTAGGACTTGTGACATCTTACACCAGTACACCAGCCAGAATGGACTTACCATCACTTCACTCTGCTCTAAGAGGAAAACCAGTGCCCTAAACAGCATGACTGGTTTAACCTGTTACAAGCTTGAAAAGTGATGAGCTAGTGAATAAGTTTCAGCTTTGTGGGCCATATGATCTGTTATAATTATTTAACTCTACCATGGTGGTACAAAGAGCTACAGAAAATACGTAACCAAAAGTGGCTGTTTCAGTAGCATTTTATTCACCAAAGCAGCCAGCAAGTGGCTTCTGGCCCTAGAGCCGCAGTTTGCTAATCCTGTGGTGAAATGCCTGATGTTTTCATCACAAACTGGTCTCTCGTGAGGGATGAGATGGCAGGGAGAGACGCAGCTGGGCTGACGAAATCACGATTTCTGGCCTGGCCCGCAGGAGCTAAGCGGCTGTCCTATCACCGGGCTCCTGTTCTCCTGCTCGAGTGGACGCCCACTCCTTCCGCCCCAAAGCACACTTGCCGAGGCTGTGGGCCCATCTCCTCCCGTCAGCAACTTCACTCTTTTGAGGCCACTGGACACGGGCGGGCCACACTGATCATGTCCATCAGGCAAGAAGAAGCCGATTCTTCTTTGGGGTCAACATTCTCACCCTTGCCCAGCCCGCAGGGAGACTGTTTGAGTTACGCTCCTGCACAGCTGCGTGACTTTCAACTGTGTTCTGCAGCAGCAGCAGCTATTTCCCGAACAGCTTTGTGCACGAACACTCCCTTGAGTTCCACTTTCTTGGAACACTTCTTCCAGAACCTTCTCTTCAGAACTCGCCGTTCTACATATAGGTGGACCGTAATATATCATAGTCAGAGGAGCGCCACACATTACAACGTAATCATGTTGGGAGCAAAATGTATTTTCTTGATGGATAAAAGTGAATTGATATCTATAAATGCTCATCTGTTCACAGCATGGAAGGACACTGGTATTTATCATTGCCAAGGGCTACAAAGTACTATTGTTCACAGCAGTGTAACAGCAGAAATTCCAATCAAAGAGCTAACATTTGGATGCTGATGTTTTCATAAAATGTTAGTACACAAATGAGAATGTCCCAGTGTGGGAAGGCTCACTCCAAAGAACAGATCTAGCTATGGCTGGGCCAGAAGAAGAAATCAAGAAGAGTCACTGGGTGAAAACTCCATGAAAAAGTTTTCAGGACAAGTATTTTTTCAAATAGCAAGAAATAGTCTTTATTCATTTACAACCAACCCCAACCCCTATTTGGTTTTTGGTCACTTTCAAAATCCATGACATCTTCTTATGGGCCTCCTTGTTTATCATCTTAACCTATTCATTTTTATACAGGAAGTCATTTAAGACAAAATTTAAAGAACTTTAAATGAGAAATGTGGTGGCAGTTGCCTGTAGTCCCAGGTACTTGGGAGGCTGAGGCAGGAGGGTCTACTCAAGTCCAGGAGTTTAAGGACAGCCTGGGCAACACGGCAAGATCCCATCTCAAACAAAGAATTTTGAATAGTATTGCTAGCACCATGCATTTTCAGTAATGGTATGAATTCAAATTCTGGTGAAAAAAAATTGGCTGTTTTAAACCAGTGAAAACAAATCATGCTTATGAAGGAAGACTAAAGTCTACATAAGGTCCTGATACAAACATGTGAAGGGATTATCTCTCTGGATTTTTGCTAAAAGTCCAATTTTCTAACAAAAACAAAGGCAATTTATTACTGATATCGACTCTGCCATTTTAATACTCTGTTGTAATCTTGCCTATTATATTTTGGAGTCCATCTCACTACATAGTTCATACAGGCCTTGAACTCACTGTATAGCCCAGGCCAGGCTCACACTTGAGGTGATTCTCCTGCCTCAGCTTCCCAAATGCTGAGATTACAGGTGCATAACACCACTGCAAGCTCTTGCCTGTTCTTGCATTGGGGTGTAACTGCTACCTGATGACTCTCAAACTGATCAAATGTGAGGGCCAAGTGGTCTTCAGGAGCACGTGTGTGCACGATGATACGATACCGTGCCCCTGACACTTACTGAGCATTGCTGTGTGCAGGCCCCGATCTAAGCACGTGGGGTGGATTAACACGGACCCGCACAGTTGCGGAAGGACGGGTAGAGGAGAGGGACGAGGATCGCACTGCAGTGGTGAGGTCAGGGCTGCAGCCCCGCACTGAGACCTGAGCACTGTGCCGCTCAGCACCATGCTCAGCTGCCCAGTCATGGTGAGTCTTGACAAGAACCTGCTGCTGCGCGTGCCCACAGCTCCTGTTCCCTAAAAGCGACTGCTCTGTCAGCCTGTCTCACATATCCCATCTAACACACGGCCTAATGATGTGGAAATATTTTTAATGCTATTGTATACATTTTATTGAATATTTTGCATTGTTCTGAACTGAATCAATGATTGCAAATGACACATTTGTAGAGGGATACAAGTATATCATACGTTTAACTTTTGCACATACATCTAGTTTGAAAAGGTAATATATAGTAAATAAGTACACAAGTATCTCATTTAAAAATCTGTATGAAACAGGGTAAATACACTGAAATGAGGTTCCTGGGCAGTACTAGAAGCCTGTGCCTAAAGGATCTTCAGAGAGGGAGGGATCTACAAAATGGAAACTGCAGGTGTGCTGGACAGGAGGAGGCTGACGCCTGCTTTCAGTCCCTTATCTGTCACTCTAACCTATAACTTTTTTTTTTTTTGGTACTAGAGATCGAACTTGGGTCCTTGTGCTTTTCAGGCAAGCAGCGGAAGCACTGAGCTAAATCCCCAGGCCCCTGTAACATCCTGATATTGTAGCAAATATAACTAAAAATGATTCCTCTTGAGACAAACCACGCAATAAAACCTACTTCCTGTGTCACTAGTCTAAAATAAACGTTATTTAAAAACTAATCAATCATTACTGTTTAAATTTATAATAAGAAACGAACTAAAGACAAAAAGACTTGTCACTGCTTTGAATGCAGGTTAAGTACACGATTTTCAAGGCAGCTAAACTCAGCAGAGAGCTGCACCTAGCTAAGCCTAGCTGCACAGCCAACTGGAAACGCTACCGTGGACGTGGGGATCAGTTACGCTGTCTGCAGCTGTGGGGCATCAGACCCCTCCTGTGCATCTTACTGAGGGCACTCAGGACAGGGCCCACCATCCAAGGCTCCAGGAAACCCTGTCCGCTGCCCTCCCCACAATGCCACAAGCAGCTGTGCTGTCTGTCATGGCTTTCTCACTGGAGACCGTAAGTCTGAGTGGAATTGTTCAAGGTGAGGGTCACAATGAGAGAACGAGGATCTTTCTTATTCTTGTGAACCATGATTTTCCCTTTTAAAGATTCACCTGCAAAAGAAAGGCAAAAAATGTTTTATGAACTCAAAGAATGTAGTCTAGCAAAGATGTAAAGAATGATACTAGCAGCTGAAATTACAGGCATGCGGCACCACGACCAGCTTAGACGTCATTTTTTTTTTTTTTTTTTTTTTTTTTGGTAGATTGAACCCAAGGCCTTTGGACTGAGTTGAGCTACATTCCTAGCTTTTAACTTTGAGACAGGGTCTTGCTAAATCTCAATTTGCTGAGGCAGAAAGTTCTGAAGTGAGCTGAGCCCTCTGCTTGGGGTTCTGACTTGTGACCGACCCCTCTGCCTCAGCCTCTGTACGCTGGCATTACAGGATGAACCGCCACACCCAGCTTACACTTCAGTGTTAGAGCAGTTTTACATTTCGTTAATTTCTGAACAGAGTAAGAACTGCACACCACAATCACCACACCCTTGTGAGAGACTGAGCAAGGTCACAGTGAGGGGAGCAGTTTTATGAACACCTCTGACTGTGAGGGTCCTGGGCACCCAGCAAACAAGACAAGAAGACCCACTTTGAGTCCATGGTCATAGGAGAAGAAAGGCAGCTGCAACCCTGAGGACCTAACACTGTGTCCAGGGTGCACCGGCGGGGAGGCTGGAGGGCAGCACGGAGCCCACCTTGGGCAGCGCTCACCACACGTCGTCGGTCCACAGGCTGTGTCCACGCAGCGGCACTTAGGGAGAGAAAGCAGTACAGAGAGCACCCAGGAACAGCATCGTAAGGAACTGACATTTTCAGGTGGAAGAACTTTTAAAAAATTCTGTTTTACTGTGGCACACAACAAGGTTGCTGACCTTTAATGTACGGACACAGAAAACAGGAAACAACTTTCGCAGATAAAGTGATGAGCACAAACATAAATCTGTTGAAATGTAAAGGCTGATTTCTTAAAAATTTATTCTGCTTTGCTTTAATCCAAAATGGAATTCATGTACTTTTCTAATTGTAAATACTTCTCATTTAATTTGTTTCATTTTTGAAAATGATTGAGACTCCTCAGTTGTACTTGGTCACCACTCCCTCCTTTAATAAAGTAAGGGCCTCACTGCCAGGCTCAGGACCGGCTTCACAATGCGGCTGGACAGTGAGATGCAGGTAAAATGATGAGGAGGGATCTGTGAAAATTCTTGGGAGTCCTGAGTCAACTCGATATCGCATTTAAAACCTGCAAATCCCTGCTCCTCCAAGGACCATGAATCTGTCCTCATTTCAATACAGCAGTGAAATAACAAGTAAAACACAACAAAAGCACCAGTTTTCAGAATACACTATGCCATTACTAAATGTATTCTATGCATCTCTGCCAAAGAGGTAAGACATATCATTTAATGTATGATTGAGGAATTAAAAACAGAAGAAACGCGAGGCGAATTCCATTCAGCAGGATATACTTCACATGCAGGAGTGTAATGCTTGTGGCTGTGTGTCCTGTACTTCACTTGCTCCTCTGTATTACTAAATGAAATAAAACCACCAGACGCACCACGCTCCCCTACAGCAGACACAGGGCTACGTCCGACAGCTCTACAAACGGCACAGAGCACAGGCTAATCAGGAGGCATTAATGCTTCAGGCTGACATGTGCCGAACGGTACTTACTCTGTGCTACTCTGTAGGATTCCACTCCCCTAATGGCTACAAAACGCCGCCAGGAGGTGCATGTCCTCTCTTCTGTTACGCACAGCACTAGGAGGGCAGCTAGTCTGTTCAGAGCCCGCGGCCAGGCGGCGGTGCTGGACCTCAAAACCCGCTCCCTGCAGCTGTGCTCCCGGTCCCTCTCGGACAAGACGACCACAGTAAATACCCTGTGTCGCGCATCAAGTGGCCCAAGTTCTTCTACCCTGTGACTTTTTTTGTACAGATATTTAGACATTTGTTCATCTATGTATTGTTTTACACTTATTCTATAGTATCTTCAATAAATTATACATACTTTCTTAAAATGTTAAGGCATTAACATGCCACCCTGGGGGAAGACATAAAAAAGTCAGTATCAGCAAATCTAATAAAATTTTCTATTTCGAATATGCAGGGAGTATCTCCCTGCTTCTGGGTTTTGTTTTTTTTTTTTTGAGACAGGGTCTCACTGTGTAGTTGAGACTGACCTGGAACTCACTATGTAGCCCAGGCTGGTCTTGAACTCACAGTGATCAGTGATCCTCCTGCTTCAGCCTCCCAAATGCTGGGATTACAGGTGTGTGCTAGCACACCCGGGTTCCCTGCTTCTGTTTTTAAACCAACTTTCTGTTTTTTTTTCTTTTTAAAGATAGGATCTTGCTAGGTAGTTCAGGCTGGCTTGAACTCACTATGTATCCCAGGTTGGCCTCAAACTTATGTTGATCTTTCCTGCCTCAGCCTCCCAAGTGCTGGGATTACAGGTGTGTACCATGACACCCAACTTTAACCAATCTTTAAAAACTTGTATTTATACCAACAAACTGACCCTGGTATCATTTAGTGATATCGCAACTAGGACGGAATGGCACTTAAATTGCTACAGTTTTTATAAAAATATGACAGAGAATAGCAACGTGGGATTAGGGTAAAGTTACCCTTACTGAATTATCAGCAATGAAATCAACAGCTATTGATTTTTACAATTTAGTGGCTTGCTGGCTTCTTACTTATAAGCAGGGTATTTTAGTATAAATCACTTAATTTAGAAAGCAGTTCATATGTATAAGACCGATAATGTGCAGCATGTGAGATTTAAAAACAAAAAAATGACCTCCACAGACCCAACACTAGACCCAGGGCCTTATCACAGCACCAACACATCCCTCTCTCTGCCAACCTCCAAGGGTAACCATAATTCAGACTTTTTTGTTCCACTGATTATTCAGAATAGTTTCATTTAATGTAATTTATCCTTAAAATGTACACCTTAGTTTAACAATATACTGCTTAGTTTTTATATGCTTTAAAAGTTAAAAAAATATGTGGAAATAAGAACTAAAATGCATAACAGATATTGGAAAATGGGAAGAAAATGTTCAAATGGGAAGGGGAACAAGGGAGGAAGGAGGGAGACAGGAAGGAAAGGACAAGAAAAAACGTTGTACAAAGGTAGGGGGCTTGAGGGGAGCGGGAAATGGGAAAAAAGAGGTAGGATGTATTGAGTGCAGGTGCAAATTTCCTATGATTAATGTTATCAGTATGTATGCCTAAAATATACCAACATATGTTTTGCTATTAAAACACTATTTTTTACCTTCTGTGGTATGCTTGTTACTTCATTCAGTTTGGGAGATAAACCTGAGGTCAGGAGCTACAGTTCACTGATGTTTGCTACAGTGTATTATTAAACCATAGCAACAGACTGATATTTATCCATTCTTTTCTTGATTCATTTCTGGTTTCTTTTATTATAAGTGATGCCATATAACAAGGTTTTGGTCAGTGATGGACGTATGCATGACAGCACATACAGTATCACACAGGCTAAGGGTGCAGTAAGTTCGTGAAGCACACTCTATGATGTCCGCCCAACGATGAAACTGCCCAACAGCATGCTTCCTATAAGCATGTTAAGTGACCCATGACTATCTCTTGGTTTTGATACAAGAGCTTCTCTGGGATGTAAAACTGGGTTTTACGGCCTACAGATATTCAAATTACCATGTAATGACCACAAATCCTTCAGTAAATGTTAGCGTTCATTCATAAAAGGTCATACAACAAGAATCACTTCCTTAGAGAATATGAAATTCTGAAAGCAAACATGGTAACAAGCAAAACTAGTAGCATTTAATGTAAAACACAGCAAACACATAGACCACTGTCACTATACTACTTTGTTAGTTTTGGACGCTCCATCCAAAGCAATATGACAGACAAGAAACAGAAAAATAGGGATAAAATGTTAAAGAGGGGGGAAAGAAATTAATTGCAGGTAACATTTTCAATGAGAGTCCATAAATCTACACTGTCCCCTTTGGATGTTGGCTAAATACTAGTCTGTCAGTGTAGGGGGAAACTATGGTTCTGATTAAAAACTAACTTTTAAGGATTAATTAGCCATGTAATATGGATAATATTGGGACATAAGACTTTGCTTTAGCATTAAAAGTAAACTATTGTAAGAGTAAAGGCTATGCTAGTCGGGGATTTAGCTCAGTGGTGCCATGCCTGCCTTGCAAGTGCAAGGTCCTAAATTCAATCCCTGGTACATTATAAACAAACAAACAAACAAATAAATAAAGTAAGTAAGTAAGCAAGTAAGTAAAGACTACTCTAACTTCTCTAACAAAGTTTTAAAACAATGTTTGTAAAGATTAAGGTGATCTCCAAGTCACTTACCATCCTGCCAAAAAGAAATTCCAAAGTTTTAAAGGTAAAATAAAACCCAAGCATTCCACAAAACACAATTTGTGATGTCTGATAGCCAATTAAGAATTACTAGAGGGGGTGAAGGGAGGGCAGAGGTAAGGGGAAAAAATGAGAATCAAGACTTGCCATGTAAAGGTACATGATCCCAACAATGAATGTAACTGTACTGTATCCCTAAAATGTACCAATAAACTCAATAAAATTAAAAAAAAAAAAAGAATTACTAGATGTGTTAAAAAGCAGAAATTTGAGACCTGTAAGCAGATGAGAACTCAGCTAATAGAACCAGGCTAAGAGAAAACATGCTCATAACCAGAAATAGATAAGAAAGAGGAGAATCAAACAACTTCTAGAGCTGCAGAGCAGCTGAAACAAAACTGACTGGAAAGACTCAACAGATTAGACACTGTAGATGAAGGAGAATCAGCAGATTTGAAGAAACTAATCAGAAACCACCCAAAATGGAGCACAGGGTCATAAGGTCTCTTCTCTCCCCAGAAATTAACAGAGATGCAGATGCAGTCACCACTGAACTACTTCCTACAGTCCAACCTGTGCCTAACTGGAAAACTCAGAGGAAATGTGCAGGACAGGCACAAGGGAAAAATAAACCATGAAAAAATAGGCCAAGTTTCACAAAACTATAAA